AAAACCCTAAATACAAAACAAAAAAACCGTCTATACACGATAAAGTTATTAGTGTTTTTAAGATTATTAAGGTTATTTGGTTTGAACGTTTTCAAGAAAATAACAGTGAGATTTAATAAACGCAGTTCTTCATGAAAAATAAAAAGTACACTACGCGGAATTTTCTCATCTTTGGAAGGTAATAAGTTTTATACATTTTAAATAAGCTGTTTCTGAATTTAGTGTAAATACCTTAAGAAATAAAGAATGATATCGTACACATTTACCATACTTCTGTTATGTCCTTGTCTCCAATTCTTATATCCACGTCACCCATGGCTTTCACTTGAGACCCTTACAGTTTCCACGAAAGATTGGGGAAAGTGAAGATTTATTTACTCAAAAATGCGACGACCCTAATCGAAAATACATCTATGTTGTTTTATACACCTATTTGTTTATTACGAAATTACAAGAAAACGACATTAAGAATGACATATTGAATGTAGTTTATGTTCATTTAATACAAACAATAAAGATATCTTAAATAAACACTACTGTTATATCTAGAAGTTTGTTCTTGATATGCCGCGTGTAACGTGAGCACCAGTACGCCAGAACCTCTCCAAGTTGCAATGAAAAGACAGAAGATTAATGAAAGGAATATTACTGCCAGACAGGGTGAAATTATAGTACAAAATTGTCAGGTATTTATAGTTTTTAGTAAGAACAAAATCATCATTAAAGTCCTCCAATCCGCATACAGGGTGTTATCAGCATTGTACGATCATGAAGCTACACGTAGGAATTCTAGGATATTCTTCTAAAAGGTGATTGGATGTAATATCTCCGGCTCCTTTTGAGCCTCCTACAGCTTCCTCGAGTTCACCTGTGGTCCGTCGTCACAACTACATTGAAATAAATCACTGTTATAATGAATAAAATATCACATTAAGAAAATAAAATAAATATTAAGCTAAATAATCATCATATTCAATTAAATACAGAAGAAATGTTAAACCAGAATCATGAGTTAGAAATGTAATTTGGTTTATTCATTCTGTCAATATAAACTTCTTTCTCACAAACCTACTTATGTTGATTATTTTAAGATTAATGATCCGTTTATTATTCACTTATTGTCAGCATATATAGATGTTTATCACCATTTCGAAAAACAATGTTTTATAAAACTTTCATATTTGACTGACTTTCAGTTGGGTGAATAAAATATCAATCAAAACGTTTGTTGCTTATAAATAAAGTTTTACGTAGAAAAAATAGCTTAGTATATTCCAAGTTTATGTAATTTTGAATGTATTCCATGATTGTCCATGTCAACAACGAATGAAATTTAGAAAAATCGACTAATAATTGTTAAATTGAATGAATCAGCTGATAATGTTTTAGATATTTTGAATATTTAACAGATTTATTTGAACAGTTGATTTTATGAGTTGATCCAAGGTAGACAACTTTTAAAACCTGAAAGTACTGGACGGCTAATTCATTCTAGTATGGGACCCCTCAATAATGCCCATCCACGATTCCATACACAGGTCTCGAACTCAAATGTTAACACTGCCAGTTTTGCAAGACAAATATGGAAGTAATATATATGGTACTGGTTTTTTCGCATATTTTAAAATACAGAATCCTTATTTTTAGTTGATCTAAAGTAGTTATAGACAGATTCGCACTGTTATTCATATCATCAAATATCAATATAGAAGTTATAATATCTGTTCTCTCCCATTAGTCGACTTATATTAGTTGCGTTACAATATGCTCACTAGTCTAGGTGACTCAATGGCATTTATATTTTAAACAATATTAAATTTTTTACTATAAAACGACTGATTGACATAAATATCTTATTTCTACAAATGACCAGTCAACGAAAAAAGTCTTCCTTTGAACATAAAACTGTCTCTGTTCCTACTCAATTACGAAATATCATTTACAACTTTTAATAAAAAGTTCATGTTCAGATTTTTTTATTTTAAATTATGTGGGTGTCGACCTACTTAATCACATAAATGATAAATTGTACATACTTTGAGTTGATATAATGACAATAAAATGAAACATAATATTTATAATCTAGGAATACTTGGTGACTAGAACATACTCATATCTAAGCACAGAATCTCAATAATTTTAAACAACTGATAATATTTATCATATAGAGTTATTCGTGAGCTACCATCTTTTTATTTACTACCTGGAAATGTGAACTAATTACTTACGACTGTTACTCCTAACGTAACATAGTCCGCCGTTCAGCATTCTCCAACCCAATCTGTCCTGGGCCTCCTTTTCTAATTCTATCCAATTCTTGTTCATTTTTCTCATGTCTATCTCCATTTCCCGGCGTAATGTATTCTTTGGTCTTCTTCTCCTCATTTGGCCTTGAGGATTCCATGTGAGGGCTTGTTTTTGACGCAGTTGGGTGCTTTCCTCAATGTGTGTCCTATCCACTTCCAACGCTTCTTCCTGATTTCTTCCTCCACTGGGATCCGGTTTAATCTCTCCAACAGTAGGTCGTTGCTAATAGTTTCTCGCCAACGGATTCGAAGTATTTTACGTAGACACCTGTATCTTCTGGATGATGGCTTTCGCAGTTCTCCAGGTTTCCGCCCCATACAGTAGAACTGTCTTGACATTTGTATTGAAAATTCTGACCTTGGTGTTAGTCAACAGTTGCTTTGAGTTCCAGATGTTCTTCAGTTGTAAATATACTGCTCTTACTTTACCTATTCACGCTTTCACATCTGCATCAGATTCACCATGTTCATCAAGGTAATTAATATTAACTAGTAAAAGAAATTTAAATTGGTGAATTATGAAAATAATTTTTTTAAATAAATGATTAATAGTTTTTTCAAAAATCAGCTTCTTTCTCTCAATATTTGAATAAACTATATATGTTTTCATGATTTCAACCTATGAAATTTCTAAAAAAACTCTCCATAAAACCCATTCTGATAATAATCAACTGACCACTAGTGACTGACTTCAAGAGATACTCCTGGAGTTCTAGTGAGAAGCCGTTACCAGTGGAGTTCAACCAGGTCTGGTGTGAGATGTCAGCTCACTGATGATAATGGTGTACGGTGGCGCAACTTCGTGGATTAATTGAAGTTAGACATTAACACCGTCGGACGCCGGCTCAGTGGTCTAGTGGCTAAGTGCTCGCGCGCGGAGCCAGCAGGTCCTGGGTTCGAACCCCGCGGGGTGAGGGGCCGTGGATGCGCACTGCTGAGAAGTCCCGTTTATGAGATGGCTTCAAATTAATTAGATATTAATCTTAATATCACATAACGTTCATTATTCGATCATTTTCTTTAATCAAAAACGATTAAAGAATACTGGGAATATATTAAAGATGTAAACATACAAATGGTCTCTTAATTTTTATCCACAAAATCATACAGTTCCACTAGTATATAAACAATTAAATTACTGATATCAAAGCACCAACTGCCACTTTGTTTATAAATCTCAATGAAATTTTACTTAAATTCTTACCAACTAAATAATAAATGTATGTAAACGAATTTAAATCATTTCGATTGAATTCATATAATGATTTAAATATTAATAGTTAAGATCATAAGTCAATTGAAGCTAGAACAGTACGGAAATCCTGAAAGAACTGGATGACTGTTTCATCTTCTTGTGAAACTCCTCAGCAGTGTGTAATGTAATTGTTTGAACATTGAAAAAACAAACTTACCGCTTTCACCTTTTCTTCTAATTTACCTTGTAAAACATTCTTTTAAAAAAATATATTAATGACTGACAAAATCTATAAAACAAAAAGAAATCATTTCAACTTATCTCTCTCAAGTGATTTATTCTTATAGTAATACAAAATATATATATTGATAATTGTCTAACTATTTCATCCATCCATTTTTCGCTCTCTCTTCTCTAATCGAAAATAATAACTTTAAACAAGTAGTATGTTAAAATGCGCGTTTTTCAAAAAAATATTCTAATATTGTAATGTTCAATTTAATGTTTCATTTTAAATGATCAATTTATTGAAGAATATTAAATGTTTAGAAAAAAAGGAGGATAAAAGTAGGAAGATAAGTTATTATTTTTTGTTGTTGTAAGTTTCATTTTCATAATTTATACTAATAGTTAATGAAATGGAAGCAGTCAAAGCATTTCACTAGGATGTAATAAATGATTATGTGAAATAAACAGTTAAAAACAAAGGACGAACTATTTGAGCGTCTTTTGCACATTGCTGAAGCCTACTCAATCCATATTCATAAACCTAATCTTTGCATCCAAAATATGTTTGTACAACCACTCTTCCTATTTCGGCCATCGGTATAGTGGAGTTTGTAGCAAAACTTTGATAAATTATTTTCATATTTTCTCCATTTATTGTAACTTTTGTATTTGACTGATTCTAAACATTTGTTCTCTTGATTCATACATAGCTATTATACTACTGACCGTTCATCAAAATATTCTTCTAGTTCCTTCTCTTATATATATATTATGTAACGTAACATCTACTTGGTTTTCGAATAATTACTTTGATTATTAATCCTAATTCTTCCAATTACTCAATACATATTTAGAATCGATATATCATTATATAATTATTACGTAACGTAACGACTCGATGAGTATTATTGTTATTTATTTATATATAATAGTGTAGAGTCATGATGAAAAACTAGCTGAAAAGAAATTTCTTTTCTCGATTCATTTCTTCTTTACTTGCCAAATGTCAAAATGGGAAATTTTACTATCATTAAATATAAAACAATGAATTAAAAGGATAATACACCCAACTTATTATAATCATGTTTGAACATAACCAATGAAACTGAAGTTTTATTTTAACCAATCATCTATTACTCTCATATTATATATTCTCATATTTTTGTTTAATTTCTCAGTATTACATTAATATGTTACTAGTTCTTTTTAAAACACCCTAGAAAATTTCATTCAATGTAAAATTGATAATCAAAAAAGAACTAAATTAAAATAACTTTAAATGTTTTTAATTTCTATATTATTATACTTTAAATGTATAAGAAATGTTTAATTGGAATAATTATTATGCAATCATTGATTACTACTTGTGCTCAATTTCAAGATCATGTAATACTTTGGGATGCTAATAACTGGAGGTAACGTGTTGTAATGTGTTGTGTTTTTTTTTAATTTGAATTAAGAATTCGATGTTTAAACTTGATGAAGCTATTCATATGACTTGACTCGTTTAAAATTCATATCAAATCTGTATAACCTTAGTTTGATATACATCATATTATAATATAAATTATATTTTAAATTCTAGGTTGTTTTTAATAAAATTACTTTATGTTATTTTACTGTCTCCAAGTGAAATGAATACACAAAACGGTACAAAATTTTTAAAAAAATATATAGAATTTGTTTCAACCAGGCAGTAAAGAAAAAGATTTAATATTTTCTACTCAACAAATGCAATTGATTTTCAATGGTTGAGATGATGTGTCAATTGAAGCTGGACCACCGTGGAAAACCTGGTAACACTGGACGACCGGTTCGTTTCATTGTGGGACTCCTAAGCAGTGCCCATACACGATCCTGCCTCGCGAGGTTCGAACCCAGAACCTATCAATCTGGCGCGTGAGCGCTTAACGACTAGACAACTGAGCTGGCATCCAACGGTTTTAATGTCTCACTTCAACTTATCCATCAAATTGAGCGGCACACCCACCATCGTCTTTAGTACTTTACTATCTCACAACAGACCTGGTCACTGCTTCTCACTAGAACTTCAGGATCTACCTCTTGAATTGACTCATGATCTCAACCATTGAAATTACTACAATATCCACAAAATCCTTTATGAGATGTAACTAAAGTTTAAAATTACTTTTTCAGGTGTAATAAAGCCTATTAATAACTATTGGACTGGGAATATATATCTAAAATTTAAATAAAAAACATCATTAAGTAGTATTTAAAACATTTTATTTAACCATAAACTTGAATAATGTGATGAAAAATAATATAATACACTTATAATAATGTCAAAATCTCTATGTTTTGCTAGAAACTAAATGAAAATAGTTTAATTAGAGTCCTCTGAAATCTGCCATTTAATAGTTCCATTAACAAAAATAATGTCAAAAATATATTTTATAGTATCCAGTATGTTTAGTTGTTGAAATGTTTAGATTTTACCGATCTATTAAAAAGCATATTCTTTGTTCATTGAGTCTGCCCTGCTTATAAATAATGTAGTCTTATTAATATACGTAACATGTAACATTATTGTTATCATTCGGTAGTGCATTTTCATATTTAATTTGATTATAATTTGCCTAAAATATGTCTTAATAAAACAAATTTTATTTGATTCGAAATCTTCGAGTTGATCAGTATACATTCAACAGTTTTGTTACTCTGTGTTTATAAACCCATTGCTAAAACATATAGTATCACACTATATAAAAACGTTCATTGATATAAACATGTCTCTTACACATTAATACAAAATCCTTCACGTTAATTGGATGACTTATTCAGTAAACCGAAGAACCTTGTACCTATTTATATTCGATAATTTTGTTGTTTGATTATATTTTCCTTGAAAAAGCTTGGACCAGATTGCCAGCCGAAACGTTGGATTTACTTAAAAATTCATTCGCTGAAATTTTACAAATATATTCTTCTTTTTAATGTTTGATATAACTATGTTCAGACATTTACTCGACTTCACACAGTTAACAAAATTAATTTAACCATCAAAAACTGTCATTTTTAAAGCTTAAACGATTAACGAATAATTATTTATGGTTTAAATAATTGACCTAAAATTATAAGTTATCGTTGACCCAAACTTGTTTCTAGTGTGCTTTTGAGGGTTGTTTTAAAAAACAAATACACTTTGATTCTATAATACTTAATTAAATAGTTTGTTTGCTTTTTGTAAAATTTTATATTTCCACCATGTATATTACAATACCGCCTGAAGATAGTTCTACTTTAATTCTGTCTCTGAAATTATTACCACTCTATTCACGATAATGTGTTCGTTTAACATTAGTCTATTGTAAACTAGAGGTACATTTTTGTAAACAGGAAATTGCAAAAAGATTAACACGTTTAATAAACTAAACAAATAAAAATCCGTGAATACATAATTTTGTTTCAGTTCAACCGAAACATTATTCAACCTGAATTAAAGCAAAACAGCTTTGCCATAATTTAATGTGTTAAATGTTATTTTATACAGTTAACAAGTGATTTCTAGATAAAGTATTGTAATAAAAAATTACCATAGTAAAACAAGCATGTCTCCCGTTCAGTTTTAACTAAATGACCTTTCTAAAAACAATTACAACAAATATTTGTATGGGGTCTATTAGTAGTAGATGAACGAAATAGGCATTAAAATTAAATTGTTGAAAACGAATTTGACATTTTTTGTATTTAAACTAGTATATCTCTTAAAACTCATTATATATATATATATATATATATATATATATATATATATATATATATATATATATATATATATATAAAGTACCAATACAAATACCATGTTATTTAATTGTAAGAATCGTAACTAATAAACGTTTTCTCAAAGAACACTCTACGGTATGAATATTCTGGGCCGAAAATCTTGGATTTCGTTTTGTCGAATTTAAATACAAGGATTCTAGGCTTGAAGCATTAGGTTGCATAGACAAACATAACTATATGTCAGAATGGGTTTTGTGGAGAGTTTAATAAATTTCACAGGTTGAAATCATGAGTCAGTTGGAGATAGACCACCATTGAAAACCTGGAAGCACTGGACGGCCGTTTCGTCCTAGTATGGGACTCCTCAGCAGTTGAAGTCAGACATTAACACCATTGGATGCCGGCTCAGTGGTCTAGTGGTTAAGTGCTCACGCGCGAAGCCAGTAGGTCCTGGGTTAGAGCCCCGCGTGGTGCGGGATCGTGGGTGCGCACTGCTGAGGAGTCCCATACCAGGACGAAACGGCCGTCCAGTGCTTCCAGGTCTTCAATGGTGGTCTAGCTTCAACTGACTCATGATTTCAACCTGTGAAATAACTATATGTGTTGACGTAATATAGGCATTCATGAGCTTCACACAGCGGCATATCTAACATTCTATATATCCATTATTATTAAAACAACAATTAATTCTACTGTTATCGTAACTGGTTATTTTTAAAATAATGATTATACTGAGAACTGTTTGCCCGTAATCAACCTCAGATGAATAAACTGTTGGATTATATTTGTTAAAGAATACATTCCTATGTTTTTTTTCTAGTTTCATCATTCGTTGCATGTAAAATGTGTATTAATGTTTTCTCCGTTGTAAAGATATTCTTAAAATGGTTGCAAATAATAAACAACTCTGAATTCAAATCTATGATTTCACGATAATTTTCCAGTCATGAATATCTTAATGATCAATACTTAACCACAGTGCAATGAATATTTCCATATAAAAATTTTAAAAAATAAATGTTCTAGAAGTTCATTACAACTTTAGATTTGTGTAGGTTATAAAGTGATTTTATCCATCTTGGTCTTAATTGGTTATGAAAACTTTTGTTTTCTTTTTGATTTTTATGAATCAAAAATTTCCGACCAAAAAATTATAAAAACCTAATTGTTTTATTCAATGAAATTAGTTGTCAATATTTTTCTAGACAGAATTTATTTTCATTTTAAAAAAAAATAAACTACTTGTCATTCTTCTTTATATTATACTCTGCTGATTAACAAAAATAAAATAATGAATAGTTTACCCATTCATACAAACTATAATTATTCAATTCAAACTTTGCTAATATTATTTAGATATTTAGTAAAAATCACCATCTTACCTTAGTTCTTTCGAATACTAACAATATGACCATAATTAATTATGTGTCTATCTGTCGAATGTAAAGTTTTTGGTATATAAACTAAACTTGAAAACTAAACGTTCTCTTAGTCTACAACTGAAATCTTCATTATTTTTTAATTACTTATATAGATAACCTTGATTAGTTAAAATATCTGGAGATAATATGTCTACAACAGTCGGATACTTATGCCTGAGTTCAATGTATTTCATTAAACAATATTTATTCTAGAATATAATGAAATTTTATAAACCAGAATTCACTTTTTGTCTTAAAAAGATATTTCATTATATTTATTGTTGAAATCTATTTATTTCACTATAAAGCATAGTCATTTGTAAGTGATGTGACGCACATGAATAGTTACTTCATGCAAACATTTGCAAAGGAGAAAAAACGCTTTTCATTTTTTTTCTTTGAAAGTATTTATTATACACCATTAAATAGATGGTTTTGATGAATTATGTAATAATTAGCTGAGTATATCGTAAAATGGAAATTATACTTGTTCTATCAACGACCTACAACAATCTGTATAATTCAGAAAATCATGAAACAAATGGTTTTACAGTTTACATTACTTGTATTGAGAAACATTCTGACCAGAGACTACATAATAATATGTAGTAGTAAATCTGTGATTTTTTTATAAACATTTGTGAGTTGTTGAAAAGAATATGAAATATCAATAATTAAAATCATGAGTTAATTGAATCTAGACCACAATGCAAAACCTGGAAGCACTAGACGGCAGTCTTGTCCTACAGTAGGACTCGCAAGCGAGCGAAACTAATAGGTCCTGGGTTCGAATCTCGCGAGACGGGAGTGTGGATGCGCGTCGATGAGGGTCTCACAATTGAAAGAAACGGATATCCAGTGCTTCCAGGCTTTCCATAGTGGTCTAGCTTCAATTGACTCATGATCTCAACTATTGAAATTACTACAATCTCCACAAAACGTTTCTGATTGGAATATGAAACAGGTACTCCAGTAATTAAGTAACTGCACAAGATATGTATATGCGCCACAATTAATTATTGACATTTTGTCATATCCTAGTCCAAAACATTTCTGAGTAATCTTTGCTATTTTTTCATTCCAAAAATCGTAAAAGCTGAATAAATTTCTAGTTGCAGAAGTGGTTAATTGCAGTGAAACTCGTTCAACTTTTTAAATTTCAAAGGATATATACGTCCGTAAGAAAACTGTAATCTGTGTTAATTATGTGTAATTCTCAAATAAATGCTGAACTACCCATGTTACAT